TAACATATGCTGTAAAACAGTTATTTTATTAATTATTCAATATACAATTTTTTAAACCTAAATATTGTTATTAAAATAAAAATTATATATTTAATAATATCATATTAATTTTTTAATTTACAATTTTTAATATATTTTTAACTATATTAATTGATATAATATATACTTTTTACCTTGATAGAAAAATAATTTCAATTTAATTACATAGATACATAGAAAAAAATATATAAATAGAAATTATTAATAAAAATAAAGAGTAATCTAAAATCATTTAGTTGGAAAACAATATCTAACGAGTATAAATGATTTGTATAAATTATATAAGATAGACTTAACGAGATGATCCAGTCTTATACATTCGAAAAATAAATCGAGGTTAGGTCAAAAAATTTGTGGCTTAAATTGAGTTGGACCTATTTAGACCAAGTAAACTTATAGGTTAACCCGTTTTATAGAATATTAATTATTTATAAAAATAAAAATAATATTATTTTATTAAGAAATATTTATATATATATATATATATATATATATATATATTATAAATTAAATTGAGAAATGATTCATTTATTCTAAGAATAAATGTCAGAATCAATACCTTATTCCAAGAATAAACGTCAGAATCTATTCCTTATTCCAAAATCTAATAATTAAGATTAATTATGTCAAGAGAATCTGTGCCTAGGTTTGGCTGGAGAAGAACATACTTTAACTTCTACTGTTATTTTAAATTAATAAATTATTAAAATATAAATAATAGTAATAATAAAAGATAAATTTTTAATTCTTATTTTGATAATAAAATTTAAATTTTTAAAATATTTTTTTATTTTTATTTAAAACATTGCGGGGAATCAAACATCAGTCAATGGTCATATGATTTTTGGACTGTGGAACACAAATACGAGAGATTAATAACAATAAAAAATCATTGATTATTAGGATTTTATTAAGGAATTAATACTAGGGTTTAATTACACACATAAAATAAATATAAAAGATAATATTTGTTATATCAGAAAACTTGATTATGTTATTTTTTCGTAAACAAATAAGCTAAATATATAAATTTAACTTAACTAGAAAATAAGAAAGATAATTCTTACTTACTAACAAACTCCCACGTAATAATAAAGATATCAGTCACATACTAACAACGTTAGGTGACTTTGTCATTATGTTTGCTAATTGTTTTATGCTACTCCAATAGTTTAGCTCAGCTCAATAACACCGACATCTAGAGTTGGTAAAGTAACGAAAATAAAGAAATTCACTCCTCGATTTATTGGTCCCTATCAAATTCTTAGAAAAATAGGTCATGTTGCTAACCAAATTTTCTTACCTCCTTCCTTTCTAATCTTCATAATGTGTTTCATGTGTCTCAGTTAAGAAAAAAATATTTTTGATCCTTCTCATGTAATAATGTCAGATATAATACAATTAAATGATAACCTTACATTTGAAATAATGTTTGTACAGAATACAAATATGAAGATCAAGCAACTACGGGGAAGACAAATTTCATTAGTGAAAGTTGTTTGGAATGAAATTACTCGGAGATGCTACGTGGGAATTAGAAAAGAAAATCAAAGAAAGTTACCCTCATATGTTTTAGTCACTAAAAATTCTGAGGACAAAATTTCTGTAAGTATTGAGAAAATGTAACATCTCAAAATTGATCATGTAATTTTTTCAAATACAATGTATTAAATAATATTTTGGGTAATTTAAATAATTTTAAAATAAAACTAATTCATGTTAAAATAAATAAATATATATATATATATATATGTGTGTTTGTTAAGTTATTAAATATATATATATATATATATATATTAAAATAATCATTATAGTTTAAATTATATATATATATATATATATATATTCATTATTAAAATAAAGTTAGTTAATTAATAAAATTGATTATTGAAAAAACATGATCTTATCTCTTTAAGAGATAATGATTAAAAAAAAATTAATTAAATAAAATAAAAATACATAAATGTAATTTTATCTCCTTACGAGATAATAATAATAATAATAATAAAATATAACCTTATAGTTTACATTAAATGAAAAAAAAATGAATTAGTAATGATTATAAATAGGGGTTACGGGAAAAAGGAGAAATGGAAGAGGAGAAAGAGAGTAGAGAGAGGAAAAGAAAGAAAGAAGAAAGGGAAAGGAAGGAGAGAGAGGGAGAGAAAGAAAGAAAGAGAAAGAGAGAAAAAGATAAAGAAATAAAGATAAGTCATTTCTGCAAAATTTTGGTATATCATCTACCGTTTTTAAGGTAGGGGAGGAGACTATTATCATTTTATCTATTTTATTTTAATTATAGTTGTGGAATGAAGTATCTCTAACCTCATTTTATTTATTTTGTTACTTATTTATTTATCTTCAACCATTTACTGATCTGTTTTAAGTTTATTTATTCTTCTTCAGTCCTCTGCAATGATCCTAATTTAATTATCTCAAATTAGTACTAGTCTTATTCTGTGTTTATTTATTTATCTCTTGTCTTGTACTGGTCTTATTTATTTATCTTCAATTATGTACTGGTTCTGTTTGTTTATTTTATTTTATCTTTACTTATGTACTGGTCTTATTTTAATTACCCCTGGTACTTGTTTATTAATTCATATTTATATTATGTAATTGTTTTTAAATAATAATATCTATAAAGATTTGGTGATATTGTAGATGAAAGAAAGTTGGACCATGGGGATTGAAATGAGTAAATATCGAGAAAGTGATTAAAATTGGGTTCATTTATCCTAACTAGTCACTACAAATTTAATTCAAATCTTCATAATATTGAATGTGTTGAGGAAGTTGAAAAATATATTTTATATATCATTATAAGATGGTATTATTTTAAATGATAATTATTCTCACTTCTTATTATTATTTCTTATGTATGTTACAACTAAAATTTCAATACAACTATGTGTTGCAGGTAGCATCAATTGTTCCGTGACAGAAGTCGGGTGGACCGAGTCACAATTGAATCGTGACACTTGGGTTGTTACTCTTAAGTAAAAAGAATTGCACTCTGACTAATGATTATAACATTTGACCTAATTATAAGCGTTCGATCCTAATAATTGATATCAGAGTCAAGATCACAAGTTCGATTTCTGATAGACAATTATTAAAGGAGAGATTATTGGTAGTTATACTAGCATATCTTACTCACAACAACGTGATAAGAAATACTTCCATAATGCTACAATATAAAATTATTTGGATCTCAAGCTTGGAACCTTTTGAACCAACCCATTAAAAAAATTTAGTATCCAAGTCAGAAACTATTTAAATCATTGGAGTTGTTAGTGTAAGAAAAGTCAACACCAATGGGTGAGTCTCATGATATAATATTTGCAATTGGGAAGTCGAAGAAACGTAACTCAAATTATTATCCAATTAACTAAATAAAAATAATAATAACAATGAGATTATGAAATTATATACCACTGTTATAAAAGAATTCATTAAGGTAGAAAAGGGCTTTCTTATCATCTCTTCTCAATTTAACGTAGTTAGCGTAATGATTAAAATTTATCCATGAATGACCCGTAAATTTGTCAATTTATCAATCTAAATACTATATTTAATTTTTAGACTTTAAAGCTACAAAGTGAATAATTATACACTTGTAATTAAAACTTCATATAATGCACGAAATATAATAAAGAAAATAAAATAATTAAAAAATGTTAAAATAGTAATTATTTCCTCTATTAAAAAGTTTCTAATTTTATTAATTTATTTGTTTAATTTTTTGAAAGAAAGTGGATATGTAGTATGATTGTGTAGTATTCGATAAAGTTACAATAAAAAAAACGATGATAATTTGTTTTTATTATTTATCAATCATGAATCACACCTACAAATTACAAATTAAGATATAACATGGAAAAACAACTATGATGATTTTGTCTCTTATGTATAAAGAGAAGAAAATTTATATCAAATATTTTTATATTGTCTTCATTACCAAATAATAAATCATGTTGAATATTTTTCTTTATCATATAAAAAATTAAATTTAATATATTTTATATATAGTAAGTAAATATTATCATTAATTATCATTATTTTTTCTTCAATAAAAAGTCATTTATCACTTTTTATAAATAAATAATGTCATTGTTCTTATGTATGTTTTATAAAAAACAATTAAATACTATGTTTTATTTTTTTACCTTTGAAGATACGAACGAAGAGTTAAGATATAGTTGTAATTAAAATTTCATATAAAAAAAAGCACGAAATCAAACAAAATATAAAAAAGAAAATAATATAATTAAAATAATGGAGAGATATTTTATGAGCTTATTGTTAAATATAATAATAAGAGATTTTCCTTTTGTGCAGGTATGGGATATGGATAGTATACTACAAGATACAAATGAAATGGAGCTAGAGATGCTTTACGATGGATTTGAATGTTATAGATGTCCATGGTGTAGTGTTGCAGGGAACAAGACAAAGAACCCAAATAATTGGTCTTTGCAGATTTGTATAAATTTGTTCAAAATGTGGTGTGAAGACAGTTATTGGGCCTCTCGCAAAAGCAGGACATGGACAAATATTGGGCCTGTTAACCAGTCAGTATTGGATTGAGTTGTGTCTTCTAGAAATTTAAATTAAAGAATTAAAAGGAAAATTATAAATTTCAATTCAGGAAAGAAATTACTTCCTGTGTTGGATTTTTGAGTTATAAAATAAAAATGCAAAACAATGTGTTAATTGATCAATCTTTATGTAATATATAGTCGTTCTTTTGTAATTGATAAAAAATGTTAATAATATTTATTACTTTTCATGCGAAAATTAAATATTACTTAGTATAGGTTCCTGTAATAATAACTTTACCAGATAACACCTGTCCCAAGACTTCACATCACATCCTCCCACACCGAAACATTTTCACTCATATATAACTCTGTCCTGGGGCAGCTACCATTGATGGTGCATAAACACACTCCTTCACCATGCAACCTTTCTTATCATCACCAACTTTCCTTTCTCAGCTCTTTCCTCCACTGCTCTTCTGTTCTTCATTTCTTTTGGCTCTTTTTCTCCAATGGCTATACCACAAAGGCAAACGCTTGCCCCCTGGTTCCATGGGCTGGCCCTACCTAGGAGAGACCCATAAACTTTACACTCAAAACCCAAACACCTTCTTCTCCAAAAGGCTCAAAAGGTGCATATATATATAGCTATACCTCACTCACATGTACATGCATGTGTATATATATATTGTCATGTTGTATACATAAATATAAATTCGTTTCTTATGTTTGTCTGTCATTCTCACTTACGTAGGTATGGAGGTATCTTCAAAACCCACATTCTGGGTTGTCCTTGTGTGATGATTTCAAGCCCAGAGGCAATGAGAACTGTGCTTGTGACTCAAGCACATCTTTTCAAGCCAACATACCCTGCAAGCAAAGAGAAGATGATAGGGCCGGAGGCTGTTTTCTTTCAGCAAGGTCACTATCACTCCATGCTCAAAAAGTTAGTTCAGGCCGCCTTTTTGCCCTCTGCAATCAAAAACTCAGTTTTAGAGGTTGAGCACATTGTGCTTAAACTGCTTCCAAATTGGGCCAACACAACCATCAATGCCTTACAAGAGATGAAGAGGGTACGTTACATATATATATAGTTGTGTGTACTAATGTGAGTGACAAACATTTTCTATATATTTTGACTCTATACACATGCATGTAATACCAATCTCGACACATTATGTCTCTTTCTAAACTTTGTTTTTCTTTCGTTTATCAGTATGCTTTCGAGGTAGCTGCCATCTCAGCCTTCGGTGAAATAATGGAGATTGAAATGGAAGAAATCAAAGACATGTATCGGTGCTTGGAGAAGGGCTACAACTCCTTTCCTTTGTATGTTCCTGGAACTTCCTATTGGAAGTCATTGAAGGTTAAAACTTCTTCATGATTAATTTATATCTGTTATATATGGAATTGATTTGATTAGAGTCATATTTGTATAAACTTTTCTCCGGTTTATAAGAGAAGAAAAACAGACTTTAATTTATTCTTTTTATAATAACTTACGGAAAAGTTTTGTAAACATGGTATTGTAGTTCAGATTTGGAAGCATTTGGCAAGCAAGATTAACATATTTACTTCCTACTTCTACCTTTGATTTAATTATATACCCATCGTTTTTTCATTTTCGGGTAAAAAATATATGAAGGCAAGGAAAGTTCTGAATGAAACTATAAGGAGATTGATACAGAAAAGAAGAGAAAGTAAGAACAATGGAAGAGGGTTGTTGGGAGTTTTGTTGCAAGCAAGAGGTCACAAAATGTATGAGCTCAGTGATTCTCAGATTGCTGATAACCTCATTGGTGTGATCTTTGCTGCACATGATACCACTGCGAGTGTTCTGACATGGGTTCTCAAGTACTTGCACGACAATGTCAACCTCTTGGAAGCTGTGACGGTATACATACATAGTAGACTGTCACGTTTTTCCATTTTTTTCTTCTATTTTCTCTGACTCATGATTTTGATTATTGTCCTTGTAAACCTTTTTTCTTGCAGGAAGAGCATGAAAGAATTAAAACTAAACTAGCTATCGAAAATCGTGGCCTCACTTGGAATGATACAAGGCAGATGCCACTATCTGGCCGGGTAAATTCTCAGTGTGTTCAAAAGAATATGTACTAATTGAATAATGTGCTGTTAATATTTTTAATAAACGAGTTGTCCTTTCCATTTTCATGCTTTTGTATAATGAATCATATACAAGAATGTGATCAAATGCAATTATAATGAATATGGCAGGTTTTTCAAGAAACTCTGAGAAGTGCTAGCATACTGTCATTCACATTCAGAGAAGCTGTACAAGATGTTGAGCTCGAAGGTTACTCTATTCCAAAAGGTTGGAAGGTCCTTCCCCTCTTCAGAAGCATTCATCACTCTGCTGATTTCTTCCCTCAACCAGAAACTTTTGATCCTTCCAGATTCGAGGTATATTTACCACCCCCCTTAATCATCTACTCCACACACGTATGCTCACAATCAGGAATGATAAATAATTATGCATAGTAAAATAACTATTTACAAACCATATTGTAGTGGAAACAGCCAAAAGTATTGGGGCCAAAAGGGTCATGGGGGTGTTACGTTTTTTCTGTTAAAGTCAGAAAATAAGGTTGAACAACAGTTACACTATATTATGGTGCAGTCTTTTTCATTTACTCTCAGTCAATCACTATTATTAAGACGAATGAATTGTGTTGTTCAAATCTTTCTAGTATCAGAGCACGTGATCTAGATTTGTAGCTAGGCTAGTACAATTTACCTTTTTTATTACCCAATAATAGTAAGATAGTTTGTACTGAGAAAAAGAAGGGTTGTTTGGTATTGACCAAGTTTATGTGATGTTAGGTGCCACCAAGACCAAATACATACATGCCATTTGGAAATGGAGTCCACTCTTGTCCAGGAAGTGAGCTGGCTAAGCTTGAGGTGCTCCTCCTCCTCCATCACTTCACTGTCTCTTATAGGTATTGTTTGACCATGACTGATGATAGACAATGAATGATGCCTCATATTGGATATTGGATCTAATGATGTTTCACAAAAATAGTTAGTCTGCAACTCTATCTCAATTGATTTTGAGATATTGATGAATGGTAATGCATGGTGGTGTTCCACAGACTCTGGAAGTGGTCCTCCTTTTTCAAGTGTAGGGAATCCCAAAGGATATTGAAATTTATCATTAAAAACAGCAATCTCAAAAGATTAAGTTGTTACCTTAAGATATTATTGGGAGAAAATGTTAGAATGTGTCAACATATGATGCTTGCATTGTTATTACCTTCTCCGCAATGGTAAGATGGATTTTGTCATTGGAATTTGTCTGCTAAATTAATTATGTAGAAATAACAATATTAAGTTCATGACATCATTCATGACAAGTGCTGGTGTGGAGGAACTGAAATGTTCTGCCAATAGTATTGTCGAATTGTAAAAATTGTATGTAGTGATGCATCATCCTCTTGATCTGGATGGTTGCTTTCAGGTGGCAAGTTGAGGGAAATGAAGACGGAATACAGTATGGTCCTTTTCCTGTACCCAAACATGGACTGCCAATCAAGATAAGCCCAAGAAAGAAGATGGTCACAGAAGTTGCAAATTCCACAGTTTAGGAGTTCAGAATATGTTAAGACTGACAAACTCTGGGGAAAGCAATGCATCCCTGTCATATAATCAATGCTCTTTCAGTGTAGATGTATATATTGTGCAAAAATATATAAGTAAACTCTATTTCTACAGAAAATATGTAAGTAAATAATTAAATGTTTTAAATAATTCAATAACTTAACTAACAGATATAAAATATATGACAATATTAAAAACAAAAGCATTTCTGGATCTTTTATATTAAGTTTGTTTGTTCCTGGGAATTCCGTAACTTTTTTATTTAAAAAAAAAAAACGAAACATTTAAGATTTGTTAGAAATTGATAGTTATTGATTCATGATTTGATATGTACAAAATGAAAACATCATTCTCAATTTTTAAGAATTTTTATGAAAGTCATTTTTCCTCTAAAGAGATTTATTTAGGAGCCGAGTCTCAAATCAAAATGGAGGCCCATTTAATGCAAGTCCATTGGACAGTGGCTTCTCTCATAGAGACCGAAATCTCGCCGTATAGATCAAAGCCCTATCTACAAATTGAATTCAATGACGATAAATGTCAGAATTATCTAACAATTCTTCTTCCATAATTAAATGTCATTTTTCTCTTCTTTTTTTTTTTTAAAGGGTAAAAAATCAAATTCCACGATGATGAATATGTCAGAAATATCTAATAATTCCAAATTGAAATTGCAATTAAGTCCTTATACTAATTTTCTACAAATTATCCTACTCTTGAGAATGAAACTAAATTAAAAAGTTTAAGCTCAAAATTTAACAAATTTCTATGTTAATCCTATAAAATTTCCCTTGCATTTGAAATTGAATCTTTTAACATGTATTATTTGATTCCACGTTAAAAAAATTGTAAGAGGACAAAAAAAAACACTCTTTATAGGGATTGACAATGTCTCTGTCATGCTCTATAAATAGGGATAAAGTGCCCCTAAAAAAAAAATAAGTACACCGGTTAAAACTTAAACATGAAGCTACATCGACAAGAATCCATTTACTGTTATGAAACATCATGATCACAAGCATGATGCACCACCAACCCCAAATAAATGAACTATTTAATTCAAAGGGGGACTTAAGGGTAACTAAACCGGTAGCGAAACAACGATAAGTAATGTTTTTATTTACAATTGAGATCAAAGTTAGGAGGCCTGTGATGAGGCAGCTCGAGCAGCACGCCTTTGTAGTGCCTTCAACCTATTTGCTTCCATACGAGCTCTCTGCTCTTCTGTTATCTCAGCTTTGCCAGAGTCGCTGGATCCATTATTGTGGACTTCCTCTGCTATCTTTTCGATTAAGTTACTTGTTGAAGCCGTGCTAGTGCCAATCACATTGTCCATGGACTGAGAAGGTTCCTGTAATAAAATACGAAGGTTATGTCATTAAGACTTTGACATAAGCTCCTTGTTTACAAGGTCTCTGACAATTTAGGCAAATTGAAAAGCTTCGTATAACAGACTACCAGCAACTATAGATTTACTAATTGAAATGTTCTTATGGCCCATCATAACAAAAGGGCAAATACGAATAAAAGAGACGTGAAGAGAAAGATATATCAAAAGAATATAAACAAAACTCTGATTTGTTTTGCTTTTTACTCCTGCATACCACTGGACAAGGATAACTAAACTCCGATCAACTTTTTTCCCGATAATTCAGATTACTCAACCTTTCACACAATTTGTCAGAACCAGTATCCTTAAAAGATAATATTGATTTGGATAAATATTGTTGATAGGGTTTCTTTCATCATGCAAAACATTCAAAATTGTTTTCACATATTACATGAATTAACTTACTTCGGTAGCTTTATCATATATATCATTAAGCATGTCTTCCTGAGTGTCAGTAACAAATTCAGAATCTGGAAACACATCTGTCTCTTGATGAGTTGCTCCCCCATCGTCAGCAGATCCAGCAAATCCTAAAGGAATAAATTAGAAAAATGCATAACGATGTAAATAAATAAAACCTAACCAATTATCATCATAACCATGTTCCAGTGAATTATATATTGAATCAGACAGCTACCCTGATTGCTATGAGTTATGTGGAAGTTTCCAAAAAATTAAGATCGAATATAGAATTGGTCAATTTTCTACAAGGATCAAATTGCCGATCAAAAGTATCATCAGCTATTTGAATTGATAATTGATCCTAACTGAAAATAGCATGCAAAACATTGCATGTACTATTGGATGTTGTTCTACGTAATTAGTTTATGATCACAAATCAACTAGAACAAAATTTAAAACTTAAAACCAAGAAGAATAATGTATCTTGACCCTGGTAGCAAAATTAATGTAAGTAGATACCGTGTTCAACAGATGGAATGTCATGCACAACCGGTGGTTCCCGCAGTTTCGTTGGATCTCCACCACTTGCAACTCTTTCTCTTAATTCTCCAAGGCAAGTCTGGTCAGAGTGCGGGAGAAAATGTTAACAGACAGTCATTCAGAATCCATTTTTGTGTAGAGTGAAAAATTGGAGGTATGCATATATTATTCATGCAAGCGCATGCAACAGACACAGCCTTTCAACAGATACAAACACGTAGACACTTCATATAAAAGAAACAGCAGATGAAATGGAGAACTTCATATTTTATATCATGTAAGTATCATCAACTGAATTGCAAAACAAGTATTATGAAAATCTTTTACGGCAAACTGGTTTGGAAACGTAGATGTTGTGTTTGTAGATTAAAGTCTCATCCTCTTTACACAAATAAAGGTACTATTTACATATTCAGCAATAAAGAACTACTACTAACCAAGCACCATGATGATAGGCTTTTTGGTTACCATGGCTTTGAAGCTGGCTATAGATTATAACTACAATGCTTTGAACATTGGGCTCTTGGTTCACTAGAAGCATTGTTCTTAACACAGAACAAAGTCCGTCCACATATTTTACAAAATCCATTGTCAATCTCAAAGTATCTTCGTACTCATAAAACTTCACCACAATCCGAGATTATTTCAATTCCATAGATATAACATAAAATCAAAACATTGTAGACTTCTGAACAAATAAAATAATGAACAAAATTTGGAAGTCATCCTGAGTGATTTTATTGTTTTTGACATTCAAAATTAAAGTTTCACCTTATTATACCTTTATTTTACAGCATTAGTTGATCTTCTTGGGAATCGAAGGAGTCATGGTCCTCAAAGTTTTGCAACTCCCATGTAATTTATGATTTTGACCTCTGAAAATTTAATATATTTAATTGTATATTTACAATTTTATACTCTAAGAATCTCTTTAGATTTACACCTCTCATAATTTATGATTTTGTCTCCCAAACTTAATAATCATTTTATATATTTATTTATACATTTACAATTTTATCCTCTTATCATCTCATCTTCTTTCACCTTTTTATATTTATTTATTATTTTTTAATAATATATTATTTGGCCCCTAGAATCAATGGTTAAGATTTGACACTGTTTTACAGGTTACCAAGATGAAACTCTAATTTTAATTGAAGAATAACACCAAAAGTATCTAAAGAAATACATCTATTGTCCTAAAACAATCCAGTGCGGCATCAAATTAATAATGTCATACCAACATGATAATTAGGTATAATCTAACATCAAAGTTGATTAAAATGAACTTTCCAGAAGGAGTAACAAGATGGCATGGGTGCAATGCTTAAACTAGTGTCAGACACACAACAGTATAATATGACCCTATCTATTACTGTTTCTATCTTTCTTTATATTGACGCATAGCGGCATTCCAACATCTATAACTGAACAAATACACAATATACACGGTTTGAAGAAATAAAGTAGTGAGGAGAAACATTACCTTGACACGCCTGGTGGCGGCAACTTTCTCCACTTTGTGAATAAACTGATTGAAAGAGTAATAAGGGAGCAACCGAGAGTGCCATTCGGTGTACAACCGAAGCAGGTTACCCAAATCACGAACCTAACAAAAAAGCACACGCATCACAAAACAATTCAAAGGAGTGGTCCAAACCTATACAGAAATCAAATCCACCAAAGCAAACCGAGCCAGTTACGACAAGTAAGCACCAACGAGCATGCGTAACGTAGGGAGAGTACAAAAACTTAGAAAAAGACTGTTAATAGAATTTAAAAAAAAAAAACAAACAAAGTGATTGAGCTTAATTGAATCGAGAGACAGAAAAAGTTATTAAGCTTAATTGAATCAAGAAATTACCTCGTGGCCGCGACCACGGTATTTGAACTCGCGTGGGAAATAGCGAAGAACGTAACCGAGGCCGTCGTCGGAAAGAAGAATCTCCGGTGTGAGTTTGGGCTTAGTTCGGGGGAGTTTCTTGGGCTTTTCGGCGGCGGATCTGGGCTTGAAAGAAGAGGAAGAAGGATTGGGATTGGGATTGGGATCGGTGGAGGCGTTAGGGTTTGGATTGGAATTGGGAGCAGAGAAAGGGCAGTCTCGTGACCAGTGACCTGGTCTGCCGCACTTGTAACACCCTGTGGCGGTTCCTGTTCCTTTTCCCTCCATTTTTTCTCTCTTCTCACTCTTCACTCTCTTTTCACCACACCACCTTTCTATCTTATGTCTGCGAATTAAATTGGGTTTCTTACTCTGTTTTCGCGGGAAATGGCGGGAAACGCAAAATAGCCCTATCATGCACACTATCATAATGGTCTACTTTGCTCCAACTGGGCTTCTTGGGCCTCCAACATATATTAAAATAAATTATATTGATATTAACATGATATTTTGTTAGATAAAATATTATTTACTAAATCGAAAAATTGCATTCTTAATAAATAATGATTTAAAAAAATACCTTTTATATATATATATATATATATATATATATATATATATATATATAATCGCTCTTATAAAATGTTGTAGGTTGATTTTTGTGAGACTGAGTGAAAATAATTCTGACTATCTCTATACATAAAAAAAAAAAAATTTTTAAATAACAAATATTAAATTTTAGAAAAAAAAATGTTAATAAAATTTCATAAAAAAATATGTTAGCGGAAGAATTGGATATATTTTATTAAAATAAATAGTTGAAGGAAGATGAGAAGAATACATCAACGATAATAATTTTAAAACATGCCTTGAAAGATAATGTTATTAATAAATATGAAAATTATTAAGGTACTTTACAATCTAAAGATGTGAAAGATAGATTTAATTAAATATATCGTTTAATTTAATAAAAAATATATTGTGTTAAACTATAATTTAGATTATACAAAATTTTAATCAAACTATCAACTAAACAAATATAATTAAAATTAAAATATGTTATTATTTAAGTAAAATATTGTGTTATCAACTTATAGGAACTCTTGAGAAAAATATAAAAATTTATCAACCATACCGTTTATTTCATCACAAAAGCACACCGTCAAATGATGAAAGGATAGATGCTCTACATCAGTTAGATTTTAATTTCAATATATAAACTCATCATCAATTAAGAGATTGAGTTAAATCTATAAAAAAAAACAAAAAATATTTAATTATTCTATAAATGAATAAGACTATTAAGTTCGATGAAAATAAATTTTATTTAGTTTTTATGTCATTAATTTTCTATTAGACCCATTCATTTGACTTTGACTTAGTTGGATTGAAAGTTACCACTAACAAATACATGAGACAGGATTTGATCAACTTAAATTATTATCATGGACATAAATTTCAACATTATATATCTAATAAAATAAAATTATAATTATAATATATGATGAAAAATTTATTCTATTAAATCAGACAAAATTTAGTATTGACTACAGATCTATCATAGTATATAATTGAGGTAAAAAAAAAACACATTATAATTTAATTTTGTAAGATTGAATTAGTTGTTTCTCAATTTCTAATATCATAATTAACTCTAGTGTCATTGAGACTACTAAAATTAAAGATGAATGTGATACAATTTATTTAACTCTGAAGTTAAAAAGTCATTTCAACTAAACATAAAAATTAAAATTGATTTGAATTTTATATTTTTTTATTATAAAGTTATTAAATATATTACAAATAAAAAATATATTATAAAAATATTGTATATAACTAATTATGATATTAATAATTTATATTTTAAATTATAAGAAATTAATTTATAGTGATTGTGGTTATATATATATATATATATATATATATATATATATATATATATAATTTTGGTTAAATTTGATTTAGATTGGTTGTAAATTATCAAATTGAGCTAAATTAATTAATTATAAAAAATAAAAAATAATAAAATGATTTTTTTATCTGTTTTCAAAATTTTGAATCGATTTTATATGATTTCTATTAATTGATTTTTAACACATTAAACTAAAATTCCTTTTAAGACGAGGAAGAATAGGATGAAAAATATCTTTCTATTTCTAATAATATATTTTATAATTTATATGTTGTAAAAACAAATAATATAAAAACAATAACATCATAAAATTAATATGTGGAATTAAATGCGGTTCAATTTTTTAAAAATTATCGGTTTTTAAAACAAAAATTAATTTATATGTCAAATTAAAAATCAAAGATAGTTTTTTTTTCATTTACCATTGTTTTTATTAAATTAAACTAATTTACATTTATACACAAGTAGGAGTGAAAAATAAAATATAAAATACCATAACTATTTAATTAAAATAAAATTATTATTATTTTATTTAGTTTTTACGTAAAAACATGAAAATATTAAAAAAAAAGGTAACTATTTCCCTTGACCCTGCCGTTTTGTGTCAGATCTGCATGTAATGTAATTTTGCTTAAAACACAAAGCCGGCAAAAATTTGAAATAGAATATTGATGTTGTATGGTTGCTTTTAACTCTATTGATTACGTTTTTTGGTTGTAGCCATCCACATAATCCTACTTAGCCGAACAACCTCTGTACATTTTTGTGGTCTTACTTTCTGTTATTCATGTATCGTGGTGCAAAGAAAGTAAGTACGTGGATTATATGTTTGGTGGTTGAATTTTCAAAGATTTGAAGCCAAAGCAATTGACCACTCCGCAAATCATGTCCCTTTTCAATCCATAACTTTCACTTCCACTCAACCTCCTCCAAACCTTTGAAAAAGTCCAATCTTCAACCTCTCTTAATTATGCCCAAAACAGTCCAAACAAAACTCTACAATCAACTAGGAAAGATATATATACTTGATTCATGGTCCACACATTTTTTTTTAATTAAAAAAATATTTTTTATAATATTTTATTAAAATTAATCTGTTTTGTTAACCAATATTCGATTAGTAATACCTTGGCAACCTTTAGAGATTTAAAATAACAAGAATTTTATTTTTTTATAAAGTAAAAAATTAAATTAATATATAAAATAATTTTTTACTTTTGAAAATTAAAATAAATATAATAAAACTATACTTATTAATTAGTATATTTATTCTTAAACTTAATTATCTATCCCATCTAATAAATATTTGGCTTAAAACTTTATATTTTTATATAAAGTGTATTAATATTCAAAATATAAACACAAAAAAAAATGTTTTAGAAAAAAAAAAATATACAAAATCATGGGAAAACCAATCATTTCCTCACTACTACTTGAATGGGTTTAGCCTATTCTCATCGGGCCTAAAATTATTTATTTCTAAAGATGAAACTATATAAATAAAAAGAATAAATCGAAACGCAACAAATTATTTATCCATAATCAAATTTTTATATTAAATAATAAAATAAATATGTCTTTTCCTGGGCCACATCAGTACAATCCCAACTCATAATTGCTTATAATGAACTCATTATTTTTTTACTCATAGAAATTAATTAAAGTAAGTAATCCGATCTTTAATTCCTTAAAAAGAATATAGTCATTAATGAAAAATAATGATTAATATTAAATCAGATATATAATTGATTATCAACCAATAATAAGTTGATTTTAATGCAGAAACATTATTTTATGGTGGACAAAGTAAATTAAGTCCTATATACTGGCCTAGTCCATTTTAGTAGGTAAGTTAATAGTTTTAATTTATTAATTTTTTTTCAATTTAATTCATCTATTTGGTTGATTAAAGAATGGAAAAGTTTGACAATTTTTTTAATATATATATTATTAAAATAAAAAATATAATTAATTTTTATATTATATTATAATTAAATATTTTAATACATAAATATAATTATTTTAAATTTATTTTATAAAGATATTAAATAATGAATAAAGATTTAAAAAATATTATTTTAAAAAATGTATTTTTAATTTTGTAAAATGAAATTTTTTATACTTTAAACTTTTTAAATATAATTTTAAATATATTTTCTATCAAACTTTCATTATTTGTTATCTTTAAAAAATATTATTTTTTAATAATATTTACATTTATTATGACCTTTATCTTCCCAAATTTCCAATAATTATTTTTATTATTAACATTAATAAATATTTTTAGTCAGAAGCAAACACTATTATATGTCAGTAGTAACTTTTAATTCAATATTAAATAACGAGTGTAACAATTCTACCTAGTGTTGCACAAATCTAAAGATAAAAAGAATTAGAATTAAATGAGGTGTTTATAAAAATATCTCAATAAAGTAATTATACCAATAAATTTTAATATACATTAATTTTGGAGGTTAAAAAAAATATATAACTCAAATACTTATTTATAATTTAACATATTGTAATTTTCTTGTAATATTCTTATAATCGAAATATGTTAATTTAGTATTGATAATTATTTAACTCAAATAATTACTTATAGTTTTTAAAGTGACGAAAACAAAACAAAAAGTTAAAATCACTGTATAATTTATCAAAATTTGAAAAACCCTAGTATTTATCATACAGAAATAAAGACTGATTGAGACTTCTAAATGTGGTGGTCCAGAATATTGAATAAAGAAAATCATTATGTCATTCCAACGTGGTTTTGGGGATTAAGTAAGTTTTTGTTTTAGAGATAAAGCAACAGTACCTGCAATTCATACACCTTTCTCTTCCATATTTTCCAAACTCTCTTATTTAAACCAAAGCCCCCCACGCCAACTTTTGAGGAAGTGTGTGCCCAGAAATTGAAGGACACATATTAGTTATGGCTTTGTCTTCCAATCTTCTTCTTCTGCATCTTCTCCTTCTTCTCTCTTTCACCAAAAACTCTTTAGCTGTGTCAGAACAAGAAGCAGATAGAGTTTATGGATTACCTGGGCAACCTCCAGTGAAGTTCAAACAATATGCAGGTTATGTCACAGTCAATGAAACTCACGGAAGAGCACTGTTTTATTGGTTCTTTGAGGCCACTCACAAACCAGAAGAAAAACCAGTTCTCTTGTGGCTCAATGGAGGTACTTACTTAATCACCAACTCATTTTTATTGCCATCTCATTGAACCACCTTCAGTAATACATTGCCTCACGTAAATAATCTTAACGAAACATGTAGTAGTATAAATAACATCATTATGTATATATTATTGATGATGATATAGTCTTTTATACCAATTGATCATATGAATGATTGTGGTATTCTTATGTTGTCACATCATAATTCCGTGTCAACTACGGTATTCACTTGTGAGTGTATAAAGCTGGTTAAAGACAAACTGCTAAAAACAATTCTGAAGCAAACATGGGACCTTTCTTAGTTTCTACGACCTAAATTCAAGAACAGCAAACAAAACTCTTGTATACAGCTAAAACACGTGCAGCCTCATCACACTCACAAGATGTAAAAGTAAGTTGATGCCTTAGAATATAATATGGCATGTCAATAAATATACTAATTGAATATCACGATTCATGATTCATAACTACGAGTGATTTCCACTCCATGGTCATTCCTTGGCGCAAGTCATGCACCACTCATTGTCTGATTCCTAAAATAATAACATAAAATATAGCATTATATTGATTCAGTCAACGTACCTTACCCCTCGTGAAACATCTCATGCCAAATCTCTTAAGGTTGTTCGTGCATAAGAGTTATGATCTCTTTTAATCTTTACACAACCATGATGCCCATGTTAATTTGATATAGTTAATTATCCAACATACTCTGGCTTTAAAGTTTGAAACCTTGGTTTATTTCAAAATATAGAATTGAATTTTTTTTAATCAGAAATGTTTAGCATTTTGTATGAGTAAAAGGATTTAGTAAACGGTTTATTAATGTTATGGGGCATAAACAATTAATATAGATGTATAAGGAAACCTTCTTCTAGGAGAGAAAACCAAGTTTGCCACATCCATATTAGCAGTTATAATCATATTTGTTTTAATTAATTAACGAGTTGGTTCTTGACAGCAGCACATATTTAATTTATAGGTTATGTAATCCTTTTCCAAATTCATTAATTAGCTTAACTAATTTTTGGTGATGGAAAGCTGTAGCTACTAACTTAATCAGTTGGACTTTTTTGGTATAAAACTTTTGATTTTTATCAGTCGCTAATTAGGTCAATGATATGGAAAATTTAGGTTTATAAAGTAACTCTGTAAAGGTATTTGCTGACAACACTCTTACATTAAGATATCAACTCTTACATTAAGATATCCACTCTTACAACCAGTGTTTTGTTCATTCTTCTGTTTTTATGCACTAAGAGAAAAAAGCTTTGTAGAAAAAACTATAATTGAACATGGAGGAATATATAGCATGCGGTTATTGAAAATTTGACTAAAGTCTTAAGTCAGTGGCTTCAACTTGCAGCAGAAACTGCCATAATGAAATTGAATTGAAGTAATGAATATTGCTTCGAACTGAAGTGACAAACCCAACTTTTTTCCTGTGCTGATAGAAACATAAAGGCAAGAAAACTTTAGAAGAGTAACACCAGAAAAAAAGGGGAATGATATATAAAACAAAATTAACAAACATGTGTGTATGTATAAAAAATAATTCTAAAACTTTGAAGTTTGAATATGTTCTGCTTATTCTTAACTGTTTCGTGATAATTTATTCTGGGTTTGAATATGTTCTTAATCACAGTAAAATGAATGAACATTTGTTATGACTATTTTTTTTTACAAATCTTTTGAAAAGTAATTACTTTAAATTTTTTAATTTTCTAGTATTTTTGTGACTTATTTAATCATATCGCTTTTTTTTTTAATTTCACAGTCTAATATTTTTTTTGCGGTATGAAAACTAAATATTTTAGTTTTATTTAATTGAAAAAATTATACATATATTTTTATTTTAATATTAATTATTTTTGACTTATTTCAAAATCTAGTTATATAATATTATGAATTAGAATACACTACTTATGAAGCTCCTAGTCTCTTATTCTGACCTGAAGTTATATTTTATCTTTCTTAAAGACCAAAGTCACACAGGACTCTCTCAACTATGTATATGTCAAACTATCACTTTTTTGTTTTTATTTCTACACTTAATTTGTTAGCTACTTATCCCTTTCAACTCCTTTTTATCATTATATCTAAATTTAATTTCATTAATTTTATTAAAAGTATTTGAATGTATAAATAACCTCATAGCGTATATTTAAATTATTTAATATAAATATAATTTATATATTGAAAATATTCACTCATTTATACTCATTATAATTATAATTATACATACAAAGAAATACTTATCACGTCACAGAGTTAAATACTGGGTAAGTACAAACTAGTATTTTAACTTGTGCAGTATGTAAATAAACAAGTAAAATTTTAATAATATAATTTTTTTGTCAATTGTAGAAAACATGTGTGAAATATATATATACCTACGAGTAAGAAAATGTATAGTTGAGAATCTATGTTAGAGAGTGAGAGATTCAGTTTTGATTTTAAATATTTTAATTTGTAATACTAGAATAGATAAAGTAAAAAAAAAAATTAGTGTGCTAGAAAAGGAAAAAAATAATATATGGAGTTAATTAATTTTATGACAAGAAGGTACATTTTTTTCTTTCTGTATTCTAGTATTAATATTTTAGTTTGTTTATTATATAGAAGGTGCGTATGTTTATTTTTATATAATTAAAAGTATAATGATAAATATTTAAATAATGTTGTAATTAAAATTTATTATAAATATATATTCTAATATACGATTTATATATTATTTTTATAATAAAAATTAAAGAAGAGTAGTTTATAAGATGATTGAAAGAATTATTTTTATAATTGGAAATCTTTATTCGAGACATTGTATGGGTGTGTGATTCTTTCACTATGGAAGTTGAAAATTACAACTTATAATAAAATATAAGTAACTTCATTCGATAAATATAAACTTTATATTGATTACAATAAAATAAATAAATAAACTTTATATTAATAATCATTAAATGAATAAAAAATGTGGTTGTCACTTCCCCATCTTCGTGAAGGTTGTTAAACCTCCCAATGATTTGGTTTATGAAAGTTAAACTCTTGAGCAACTCCATGTTGGAATCATATCATGGATTCATTCGTTCAATTTTGGAACCCCAAATCATGACTATGGTTTCTTTGCCTTTTGCTTTTGAATAAATGTCACTTTTTTCTTCCCTATGATAATTACTTGGAAGTTCGAACTTTTCCAATTAGTTTAACTTTCATTTTGATTTTTCAATTCATTATTACGTTTTGTAGTTTATATCCTTATTATATCACCATCTATAGCCCTCACTTTCCAAGTTAGTAATACATTACATCTTTTGATTTTTATTTATTTTTAATTAATAGTTACACACGTTACATCTATAATTTATTAATCTACACTGATTAACTCAAAATATTGTATATGGTATTTTTTTTCTTTGTTTAATTATTCTGAAGCAAACTTTGTGCTTTTTTATTATTATTTACAAAAAAAGAAGATAACTGGTTGTGACAAAAATTTACATTAATTTGATGAAAATATATGCATGAATGTTTTCAATGCATGAATGTTTTCAGGCCCAGGTTGTTCCTCAATTGGTTATGGAGAAGCAGAGGAACTAGGACCCTTCTTTCCTCAGGATAGTAGCCATCCAAAGCTAAAGTTGAACCCTTATTCTTGGAACAATGGTTGGTCAATTTACATTTTTTACTCACACAAGTTCATATTTAACATCAATATATATAAAAATCTATTATTTAAAAATACTATTACAACCAGTGTTCCTTGATCAATAATCAATATGATTTCTGCAGCTGCCAATCTTTTGTTTTTGGAAAGCCCGGTTGGAGTGGGATTCTCCTACACCAACACCAGCGCTGATATAAATCAGCTTGGTGACTCCATTACTGGTAATAGTTGTTGTCGTCTAAGATTTTCTTACTCTTATTTTCTTGCTTTTACAATGTTACTATTGACTGATGCTACTGTGTTTTCAATATCAGCTAAAGATTCACACACCTTTATCATCAATTGGTTTAGGAGATTCCCACAATTCAGATCACACAAGTTCTACATTGCCGGTGAAAGCTATGCAGGTATAAATACATGACATGATTTAGGCCTTTCTTCATTTCTTATTCAATTTCATTTGCTTTGACATTTCAGGGCACTATGTTCCACAACTTTCTGAGCTTATTTTCGATAATAATCTCAATCCTGCTGATAAAGACCACATTAACTTCAAAGGGTTCCTGGTAAAATTCTCTCATTACATTTATTTATATTAGCATAATTCATACTTGGATTTGCCAAAAAATTGACATATTGATTTGGTTGTGCAGATTGGAAATGCATTATTGGACGACGAAACAGATCAAAAGGGTATGATAGATTATGCATGGGATCATGCAGTGATATCAGATGGACTATACCATAACATCACAGCCATATGCAACTTCAATCGTCCAATTCAAAATCAAACAAATGAATGCAACAGGGAACTGAATAAGTACTTCGATGTGTATAAGATTATTGACATGTATAGCTTGTACACTCCCAGGTGTTTCAGTAACTTCAGCAGCACCACAAAGGAAGCCTCTCAAACTTCTTCCAGAATTGTGAGCTTCCACCAACTTTTTCTCTTCATTAAAATTCCCCATCATAGTAATCAAAACTTACCAATTTTAAAATTTACTTAAAGAATTCATCTTGGCAAAGGCTGTTGGATTTGGTAAATTTTATAGAACATGTGGGGCATATGAATTTTGATTTGAACAGAATGGGTGGCAAAGAAAAAGAGCTGGATATGATCCCTGTGCATCCGATTACACAGAAGTTTACCTAAACAGGCCAGAAGTTCAAAAGGCACTGCATGCCAATGTCACCAATATTCCCTATCCATGGACACACTGCAGGTTTTCATCCACCTCTTTTTCTTCCTTTTCTAGTTAAGGCATTCATTCATGTCATCCATTAACTTCAGTTTTTGGTAAACATTGTATAGTTGAAAATATCAACAAAGTCAACCTTAGTTTGTGCACTGATGATATCTATCTCTTGTGTTTGTCCTTAGTGATAATATCACATTTTGGAATGACTCACCACAATCCATGCTTCCAACCCTCAAGAAGCTTATTGCTGGTGGAATTCGCATTTGGGTTTACAGGTACACTATATATTTTCCAAAACCTAATTACAAACACACTGTACTTTTACTCTATTTAGTTCTTTACTTGATTTCTTTCTTTGTACAGTGGAGATACCGATGGAAGAATTCCTGTAACTGCAACACGATACACTCTAAGAAAGCTGGGGCTTGGGATTCTGGAAGATTGGAGTCCCTGGTATACTAGTCGCCAGGTAAAGAACAGATCTTTGTTTCCAAAATTTAATGTATTTATGCAATTTGTGTGTGTTTGATGAAGAAGTGGTTTTCGGGTGTTACAGGTGGGAGGATGGAGCATTGTGTATGATGGGCTTACTTATGTGACCATAAGAGGTGCTGGTCATCAAGTTCCAACTTTCACTCCCAAGCAAGCTCTGCAATTGCTTCGACACTTCATAGAAAATAAGAAATTACCATCTCAACCAATTTAATCACTTTTCTTCTTCCTTCACCATTTTCGAGTTTCTTTTACATTTAGAATGGAGGGTTAAAAAACTCCACTTGTTCTATTTTTTATTACTTCATAAGACTCTGTGCAGCGTCATTGGATCATTTATGTGATGTGTTTTCTGATTTTATAATTTCAATTCAATATTGTTATATATATATATATATATATATATATATATATATATATATATATAATTTTCATTTGGGGTTTTAAATATCTCCCGGGAAAAAAATATATAAAGAGATTAAGATAATGTCAATTTATTAAAACTTTGATACACTCTTTGATTAAACAATTTTAAAATTATTTTATAAGTAATCATTAATAAGTAAGTAATCTTAACATATAAAAAGAATTATGGATAAAACAAATTTCTCTAAAATTAGGGTTGTTTTTTGCAAATCTACATTTCATAATAATTTAATGTTTAAAATTAAACATTATTAATCAATTAATGGTCGAAAAATAACAATATTTACATTGAAAAAGTATTAATTAATATTTATTAAAAGATAAAATGTAAAATTAAACTATTTTAATTTTAAATTTTTAAATTATACTTTCCATTTTTAAGAATTTTTTTCTCAATCCTCCTTTAAACCCATTAAAAATATGAAAAATTTACTAACATATTCCAACAAATTTTGCTATCATCAAAATAATTAAATAATATATAATATTCTAAGTGAAATATTCAATTCGCATAGTTCTTTTAGAAAATAATATATGCATTAAAAAATAAAATAAAATCTATGTAGACAATAAAAGTAGGTAAAAAAGGTATATAGAAATAATACTAATACGAATAATGTTTGCCCTCTTTTGTTTTTATGTATAACTAAAAGAGGAAAAAGATGTCTATTAATTTAGATATTTTTGTGTTAGAAATTAAATTTCAGATATTTAAAAAACTTTGAAAGAATCATCAATAACTTCCCAATTATATTAGTTAAACATATTCTCATTAAATAAGAATTATATTAAATAAATTATTAATATAATTTTATTTTAAAAAATAATTTTCATATGCTTTTTTAAAAAGATTAATTATTGAATATGTAAAATCTTCTATATATGTTAAATAATAACATACTTAATGTATTTGTAACAAAATAATTTTTCTATATATTTTTCCAATTAAAAAATTACTTATTAAATATTCATTTTTTTAAAATAAATTATTAAATCTAAATTTTATGTTGAAACGAAATTTAATATGCTCTTTTTAAAAAATAAAATATTAATTATTGAATATGAAAAAACTTCTGTTTCATAACATACTTAAGTTAATTATAGCAAAATATCATAAAAGTTTCAGTATAATTTCCCAATTAAACAAAGTTATTATGAATTATAAAGTCCCTTGAATGAATTATTTGATACATATATTTAGTTCACTAATTAAATATGAAATATCTTTAACAAGTTATTAAATATTATTTAATAAAAAAAATAAAGAATTTTTCGGTTGATCGTGAGTTAAAAACAATATATCAATAACTTATTCTCATAATAATGTTTTTTATATCAATAAAACAATATATCAGTGTCTTAAATAATATAACACAAACGATTCTAATTTATTTGCAGGCCATCAAAGTAATAAATCAGAATAATTAATTTCAGTTAATTATTAATAAATAAACAAATAACTAATATTACATTATGTATATATATTTTTGTATCAGTTCATGAACTTACTGATTTTGGAGGTGTGAAACTGTTGATATCATTCTAACATGGCTTTAGGGAAGATAAGGAAAATATTCTTTTAGAGATGTTCATGTTTTAACATATTCATACACCTCTCTCTTCCCTCTTTTCTCAAGTCTCTTATTTAAACCCACGCCAACTTCTGAGGAAGTGTGTCCATAGAAACTGAGGAACTGATATCAGTTATGACTTTGTCTTCACTTATTTCCAATCTTCTTCTTCTGCTTCTTCTCTCTTTCACCAATGAAGCTTTTGGCTTGTCAAAAGTTTCAGTAGCTGATCATGATAGGTATCTTAGCCGGGAAGTGCTGGCAGAACAAGAAGCAGATAGAGTTTATGGATTACCAGGGCAACCTCCAGTGAAGTTCAAACAATATGCAGGTTATATCACAGTCAACGAAACTCATGGAAGAGCACTATTTTATTGGTTCTTTGAGGCCACTCACAAACCACATAAAAAACCTGTTCTCTTATGGCTCAATGGAGGTGCGCACCTAATTACTGACTCATGAATGAATGATTTTGACAGTTAATAGTAATGTAGGTATATTCTTATATTATCTCATTCTGTAACTTCATTGTTGTGTAGTATATTATGTTAGTTTTGGTCAAATGGTAGATAAAGAAAAGGTATAGTATTTTAATAGAAAAAGAATTTCTGTATCCTCTCTCAATCTTTTTTTACTTGAGTGTTTCTTCTACCTTTTTGTTCTTCTCATCTTCTCTCATCCACTAGGGTAAAGATGTGACCTTCCTAACTCTTTTTTTACAGATTAATTGCAGAACGAATCAAACTAAGTTGACTATATTGTTTTATCACCCTTAGATGTTTCTTGAGTCATTTGAAGTCTTAAATAATACAAAGAAAATTTATTCCATATTATAAGATCATGCCTATTGTTATGAATATAATATTTTGTGTTATTCCATAACAAATAGGAGAGGATTTAAATATCCCAGTATGTCCAATGCATACTGTCTAATAGTTCGAAGCAACTAGAAATATTACTTAAGTGGCACAAATGTACATTACTGCAACTATTATGGTGAAAATGCATGCATGTTTCCAGGCCCAGGTTGTTCCTCAATTGGTTATGGAGCAGCAGAGGAATTGGGACCCTTCTTTCCCCAGGATAGTAGCCATCCAAAGCTAAAGTTGAACCCTTATTCCTGGAACAATGGTTGGTCAATTTACATTCTTAACTCACTTGTTCATATTTAACATCAATATAAACCCGAATCTATTATTTAAAAATACTATTGGAAACAGTGATCCTTGATCAATATGATCTCTGCAGCTGCCAATCTTTTGTTTTTGGAAAGCCCTGTTGGAGTGGGATTCTCCTACACCAACACCAGCAGTGACACAAATCAGCTTGGTGACTCCATTACTGGTAATTGCCATCATCTAAGATGTTTTACTCTTTTCTTCTCTTGCTTAAACTGATTGTGATTCATTGATGGTGCTGATTTTCCCACATCAGCTAAAGATTCACACGCCTTCATAGTCAAGTGGTTTAGGAGATTTCCACAATTCAGATCACACAAGTTCTACATTGCTGGCGAAAGCTATGGAGGTATCCATATTCTAAAACACAAATATTTCTTTAGCAAAAGTATATGATATGATTTGGGTCTTCGTTTCATATTAAATTTCATTTGTTTTAACATTTCAGGACACTATGTTCCACAACTTTCGGAGCTCATTTTTTATAAGAATCGGAATCCTGCCAAGAAAGACTACATCAACTTCGAAGGATTCATGGTAACACTCTCTGGTTAACTCTATAGGACGAGTAGCTCATTTTGTCATAAAACTCTAACTTGACATACTATCTACATTGGATATCGGTATCATACATGTGTTCATGAAGCATAGGTCAAAACAAATCAATGAAGAATAAAAGTCCTTAAGACACTACATGAAACCGATACTAATTTGAGAAAATGATATTGGTTGTGCAGATTGGAAATGCAGCATTGGACGAAGAAACAGACACAAAGGGTTTGATAGATTATGCCTGGCATCATGCAGTAATATCAGACGGATTATACCATAACATTACAACCAAATGCAATTTCAGCCTTCAAAATCAAACAGATGAATGCAATGATGATGTGGATAAGTACTTCCAAGTGTATGACATTATTGACATGTATAGTTTGTACACTCCCATATGTTTCAGCAACCTCAGCAGCAAAGCCCCTGATGTCAGAGGCACAACCCCACAAACTTTTTCCAAAATTGTGAGCTTTCGCTTACTGTTTTCTGTCTTACTAGTAAAATTCCACATTAACTGGTAAAGAAACAAATATTAAGAGTAAAGGTTAAATTATTAGTTTAGTTTTATAGTTGATAGTTTAAATATTAGTCCTAAATGAAACTAAGTGAAGTTTTTGTTGAAGAGTAGTCCTTGTTGCTTTTTTGCTCATAATGTCAAAATGTGTTTGATTTGTGACAATGACAAGCTTGATGTGACTAATATGTATCTATGTTCTTGTCAGTTGTCTTTTTGCATGGATGTCACTTAAAAAACTAGTTTATTTTGATTTGTCAAACATTACTTGCTGTGAACAAGTGAAGTGCAAAGATTTGCCACAATTTACATAGCATGTGGGTCATTTTTTATTTGAACAGGTTTGGCATAGAAAACGAGCTGGATATGATCCCTGTGCATCCGATTACACAGAAGTGTACCTAAACAGGCCAGAAGTCCAAAAGGCACTGCATGCCAATGTCACCAAAATTCCCTATCCATGGACACACTGCAGGTTTTCATCCACCTCTTTTTTTTCCTTTTCTAATTAAAACATTCATTCATGTGATCCATAAACTTCAGTTTTTAGTAAACATTATATAGGGGAAAATACCATCAAAGTGAACCAAATTTATAATTATATAGGGTGACAGCAAGATAAATCATAATCAAATATGTATTGATTCTGTCCATATCTTGTGTTTGTCCTTAGTGATAGTATCGGATCTTGGACTGACTCACCAAAGTCCATGCTTCCTGTGCTCAAGAAGCTTATTGCTGGTGGTCTTCGCATTTGGGTTTACAGGTACACTATATTACCACAAAGTATTTGTTAGTCTCTTTCAAAAGTTAAGAGATAACTAATCAAAACGTTTAAGGTGAATTTTGTGATTAATCTACTTTATGTGTTTGTTTATACAGTGGAGATACAGATGGAAGAGTTCCAGTGACTTCAACAAGATACACTCTGAGAAAGTTGGGGCTGGACATTGTTGAAGATTGGAGTCCTTGGTATACTAGCCAAGAGGTAAAATTCATGTTTCAGACTCAAACTAATGAAGAACTTAAACTATAAATCTATGTGTTTAGGTGTTTTATTTTGATTAATCTGAATGAATTTGTGTGTTATTGTTGAATTATTACAGGTGGGAGGATGGAGAGTTGTTTACAAAGGGCTAACTTTTGTGACCATAAGAGGTGCTGGCCATCAAGTTCCAACTTTCACTCCCAAACCAGCTCTGCAGTTGGTGCAACACTTCCTTGCAAACAAGAAATTACCATCTAAACCAATTTAATCACTTTCCTTTTCATTTACCATTTTCATGTTCTGTTTCACAATAAGATTGCAATTTTCTTTTTTCTAATACATGTCTTTTATGTGTTGGTTTTATGCCATGTTTTTCTTTGTAACAAAAAGTTAACATCATTACTCACAGAAAGAACAACCATGCATTCATTCTAAAATTTAAGGCATCATATTACAATTATATCATGACAAAGAGGTTAAATTGAACTAATTAAAAATATAAAAAATTAATAACTTATTATAAATTTTATGTATGAGTTGATTTTAATTTTATTTTCATTATAATACATACGAAACTATGTAAATACATTAAGTGAAAGAAGAAGAAAAAAATGCCGTTTAAATATATTCAGATTCTTTAATTTTTGTTCAGTGCTTTTTATATTACAATTTCAATGTCAATTTTTCTTAGACATGCGAATGTACAAATTTTTAGTTTTTATAAAATTTTAATTATTCATTTGGTTATGTTAATGTATCAATTAAGGTGATATGTGTTAGAGTTTTGAATCTTATACGTAAAATAAGAGATAAATAGAATTTTTACGGCTTTATTGATATGACTAGAAAAATATTTAGTTGAGAGAATCTAAAATTTATATCGATCAATGTTAATTATTAAAATACATATTTAAATAAGAATAAAAAATTAAGTCTAACCAAATTTCGCAACTAGAAATAATCTCATAACATTATTTTAGTTTGAAGTTTAATTTATTGATTTTAGTTTTTCTTTAAAAGACTAAAGTAAAATAACTTTTTTTTTTTAAGAAATGTTAATAATATACTCTTGGATATTTTGTATGATCTTATTATTAATTAAATTAAATTTATAGAGAAAAACATTTAAATAATATGTACATTTAGAATAATCTTATATGTAGTACAATCCAATTATAAAGTATGCTAAACTATAACTATAATTATTTGTAGTATAATTCAATAGACAAAGTTTATTGTGATTCCTATATGTTGATTTTGAAAATAATCTTATTATTAATTTAATTTTAAAAGTAAAGGACATTCTATACAAGTTTTCTTACGTGTAGTACAACAATTCAATTATAAATTAGGCTAAACTATATGTTTAATTTTAAAAAAAATTATTCATAATTTTGGTTTTTTGTTTAATTATTTTACAATCTTAGTCCTTAAATTTTAGAAAACAAAAACATAGTTCTAGTTAAATTTTTTAATTTTACATACTTTTTGTATATATTATATTTTGTTCCAATTAAAGTTTATATTTAGTATATTCATTTAAGTCACTATCAGAAAAAAATAATTTATTAAAATATGAATAAAAAGTATGCAAATTAAAATTTAGATTAAAATTACATATTCTTAAAATATAAATGACTAAAACAATGAAAAAAATATAAATAAAAGAAAAATACCTATTTATGATAAATTTATGAAATTTACAGCAAATATCTTACAAATTCATTAAAAATACTTTGTAATGGATAATATAAAAACTTTTAAGTTAAACAGAGTAATGGTAAACATTTTTGAGTAACAATAACAACAGACATACTTTTGAGTATATTTGACAATACATTAAATTTTAATTACAAAGTTGTTAAAATAAATTATCATCTTTATGTCTGATGGAAAGCTTAAAAATGATTTTAATTTCAGATATTGTAAGTTATAGTTTTTGAATTGTTTATAAATCTAGTGATTGAGAACGAAAGAAAATTGAAGACGAAAGGGCAAAGAGGGGATCTCAAATAATAGGGTTCTGGAGTGTGTGATTGGGGGCAAGGGTTCGTTCATTCGATTTGCAAGGACGCGAGAATCGTGATTGAGGAGGTGGAGAGAGATGGGAGGACACGGCGATGGCACAACCTACAAAGGTGTTACCATTCATCACCCAAAGCGATGGCACACCGTCACCGGCAAGGGTTTGTGTGCAGTCATGTGGTTAGTTTTCTCTTCTCTTCACTTCTATGCTATTGCTATGCCCCTCTTTTTTCCCCTAATTTCATGGATTGTATGATTTGCTGTTCCAGGTTTTGGGTATTTTACAGGGCAAAGCAAGATGCTCCTGTTGTATTGGTAACATACCACTCTGACTCAATTCATTCAATTTGTTTCATCCTCACCCTTACAATAGCGTTGTTTCATTTCGATCTTTTCTAGGGCTGGAGGCACCCTTGGGAGGGTCATCATGATGATCATGGCAAGGGCCATTAGCATTCCTTAGGTACCTCACGATAACATTTTTATTTTTATCTCCTCTCCCTGTAAATTTCATTTCCAATTACCTCTTTCCTTGTTAGTTATTTATCCATTTATGCATTGCTTTATAAAACCTGCTTTCTTTCTTACGCTTGTTTGGGTATTGCTATGCAATGTCTGTACCCTACACCAGATGCATCTCAGAAACCATAAGATGACATTTTAAATCTTGGTTCTCCTGTTTGTTAGAGTTTCACATCATGAGCCCCAACCCTTTGATTTAAATTACTACCCAGACACAATTGTAGATGGTGGCTGGGCCTAGTTACCAGTTGAAAAATTAGGATTCATTCACACTTTGTTCTGGGCAATAGGCGTACACTACACAATGGCTTATGTAATACCTGTTTTGTTGCGGACAGTTGGTATTCATATTTTTATCATTGATATGCATGACAAATTTTGAAATTGATAAACGTTTTTCAAATTTGAGATGGAAAAAGAAAATCATTCATTTTCATAAGGTGTATATGTGTGTACCCTTTTGATGTTTAGGGGCTTTTTGGCTTTATTATTTGCTATTTTAATTTTTTCTGAAAACATAAAATGATAAAAAATTGTGGAATGTTATTTTCTGTTTCATTCCAAGAAGTGGGAGTTTGCATTACTGAAAATTTTATTTTTTGCAAACAGAATGTTGTTTCTTGTTAATGGGGGCTTTCTTATAATGTAATATGGTGCCGTATTTGTATATTGTAAAGAATTATTTTCTTTTACTTTCTTATTTTATATCACTTCTTATTAAGCCTCCTTACTCACTGCAACCCTCATGTCATGGCTTACCAAACAACACTGGGTCTTCACTTCTTATTTGTAATGTAAGGCCGACTGAGCTCTTTGATTGTCTTTGCCCATAAACATTTTTAGGGTTAAATTTAAAATCACGATGTCTTCAACAAGGGTGATCATGACTGTCTTTTTCCTAAAGGGTTGCTACATAATGGCTATTTGGTTCGTGCATGCACTTGTGAATTGATTGGTTGTCCTTCCTGTGCTCAAGCCAACTTCAAAGTTGTAAAGCTATTCTTGTTTTTGCATGTTAAGCTTCTTAGCTGTTTTAAGCCAACTTCAAAGTTATAAAGCTATTCCTGTTTTTGCATGTTAAGCTTCTTAGCTGTTTTAAGCCAACTTCAAAGGTGTAAAGCTATTCCTGTTTTTGCATGTTAAGCTTCTTAGCTGTTTTAAGCCAACTTCATAGTTGTAAATCTATTCCTGTTTTTGCATGTTAAGCTTCCTAGCTCTTTTGGGTGACTCTCAGTTTCTGCAATTGCTGGCGGAATCCCTATTAGTTTTAAATTTAAATCAACAGTCTTTCCAGGGAAGATGTGTTTTGAGTTTTGGGGTTCTTAATTTGAAAAATAGGGTGGAGAAGAAACAGTAAATCAGAAGAAAGTTAACTTATTTGAATTTGTGTAAGAAAGAAAACACACACATAAGAAACAGAAATAATGATAAAATGAAGACCATGTTTCTAAAAATATGAAAAATCGAATATACAAATGAATTTCAGGAAATGCCATAATGATAGCCGGAAATATTTCACGAAACAAGCATACTCTTATCATACGTTTTATTTCTTCTGTCCATTTTTACATTTACAAGAGTAATTTATTAACTTGTACCTGTTCAGTATGTATACAACATAGTCTTTGACAACGTTTGAAGGACACGGAGTGAGATTTTGAAACACATCTGAAGCCAGAAATTTCTACCAAAATGAACACGGGAAATAATTTGTTCAGAGTAACATGTATTATTTTCTTGGCAGGCACGAGCTCCATGAACGGGAAGAACAGATCTTGAAGTGTCTGTTGCTGTGGGTGTGCTGTTAGTTGAAACGTTTGCCTTGATTAATTCAATAAATTGGCTGTAAAATAAGAGATTTCTTTTTGCATTATGTCATGAGGGTTAGATATGTTTCATTTCCTTACCTGTTTACTGGGATAAAAGTCATGGTTATGTTTTGTTGGATTAATTATCCATTTCATCGTTCTTCTCAGAAAGGTATGGGATTAGACTTTGCGTGTCAACTATGATAGAAGCGTGTTCTGCATTTGACAACACAATTTTATAATGGTTTTTTGTTCATTTCGTATAGATCATATCCAGATATGACGATATCATATGCAGAATTGTGAAGTTGCAGAGAGTGATAAAATTGGAAATGTTCCACCTTTAAAAACCAAACACAGAATTACGAACCTTAATAGCAGATTGGAGAAACATTTGCTCTTACGAACTTTAATAATTTAACGGGAGAATAAGTAATTTATCAAAATTATGTCAGGTCTTCTTGAAACAAATGACAGTTTTATGGAAGACAGTTTCTGAAATGGCTTAGGGCCCAACCCACGCAAAACCGAAAAACTAAAGTTATTGTAGATCATGTAATTTCGAAATTCTCAGCAAAGATTATCATAGGCTTAAACATTATTATAATTCACACCCAACGTGAAAATGTTATATCAACACCTTTAATATATAGTACGACAATATTAATATATCATCCTTTCCACTTATATGAGAGTATGAAATGCAAAATTATTCTTTAATTAGGAGTTGACAAGATGAGAGATTCCAAAACAATACTACCGTTACCATGTTTGTCAATTATCCTATAATTAAGAATGTTACATCAATATTAACCTATCCCTTGTCAGAATTTCTTTTAATATATACAAAATATATTATATTTTTTAAATACTTTTTTAGTCCTTATATTTTTTAAAAATTTAATTTGATGACTAATAAATTTAATTATCGACTTTATAATTACTATAAAAAACAATCATTAAATATTAATTTGGACCTAAAAAATGTATAAAAATTATATATTTTATGAATTTGATCATTCTATCACTGTTATAGTTATAAAAACTTATTATTAAATATTAAATTTAAGAATTAAAAACTAAAACAACATATATTTTTAAATTGCAAGATTGAATTAATTAATTTTAAAATATAACACTATACAAAATTTTAAAAAATACCAATGACGAATAAATAATAAATAAATATAAAAAATAAAAGAATATAAAATAATAAGAACTCAAATTTGTAAATATATAAGTAAATAAATTTAATAATTATTAAGCATGATAATCAAAGGAGGAAGAAGTAGGAGGGAGTACAAGAGTGAGGAAGAGAGCGTTGAAGAAGATATGAAGAAGCAGGAAGAAATAAAGATACAAAGAAGAAGATCGAAGCAAAAGGTAAAGTACGTGTACGTCACGTATATGATATGATTAGATGTGACATTTTATCAATACCGGTACGTAACACACACCTTGCTGCCAAAAAGAGCAACATTTAAGTTAATGGAGTCGATAGAGAACAAATCCTTCTTAAAGTCTTAACTTCTAATTCTTGATATTCAAAAGCTTCGTGGTATTCAAATAACTCACCTGCTTAACTTTAGAGGCGATGCAGTTTTGTATAGGCTTACGGAGATTGGCTTATGGAAGAATATGTTTATTTTAGAAAAAAAAGGGTGTATTTGAAATATAGGCAGTTAAGTGGTGGCAGAGAATAAGGAATCAGTTCTTTTTTTTATATATACTTTTTGAAGAGAGAAAATAGAAGGTGTTTCTGGACAGTTCGGTTTGTAGTTCAAATAGATAGATTACATGTGCATTGTCGGAGAACACAAACTAAGAACAGAAGAAAGAGAGTGTGAAGGAGATAAGGATGTCATACTTGTTACCGCATTTGCACTCCGGATGGGCCGTGGATCAGGCCATTCTCTCCGAGGAACTACGAGTTGTCGTCATTCGCTTCGGCCACGATTGGGATGACACCTGCATGCAGGTATTCCTTTTCCTGTCTCTTCCTTCTCATCGATTCACCATTCATCAACTCTCTGCATATTTTTTTATTTTATTTGAAGGATACAATACAATATACCAATTGCTGAAAGGAGCCTTTTATGTCAAACAAGGTAGAAACCCATCCCCTTTCATCATTTTTCTCGTGTCACAGCAATTTCCATGTACTTCATGATTTCATTGCCATGGTCTATGCTACAAAATTATAGCCCTATTGCAAAAGTTCAAGTTTTGGTACAATTGTTTAACCTAACTGTCTCTTGTACTGTTGTTTGTGCTTGTTGTCCACTGGATTTGCTTTACAATGTTTGTCTAATGGCCTAATTTGGGTTGAAATCAGATGGATGAAGTGCTGGCATCTGTTGCTGAAAAGATAAAACATTTCGCTGTGATTTATGTTGTGGATATCACTGAGGTGCCGGATTTCAACACCATGTATGAGTTGTATGACCCATGCACTGTTATGTTCTTTTTTAGGAACAAACATATTATGATGGACCTTGGAACTGGAAACAACAACAAGATCAATTGGGCTCTCAAAGACAAGCAAGAGTTCATTGATATTGTGGAAACTGTCTACCGTGGTGCAAGGAAGGGACGTGGTCTTGTAATTTCTCCCAAAGATTACTCTACCAAGTACCGCTACTGAGTTACATTTACTTTGCCCTGCAATTTCTTAACCACTGTAACATTCACACTTTACTTCTGAGGATGAACCATCTTAATTTAAAGTTTCCACTTGACAAATAGAATGGTTATAACTTTCATAGCCACCACACATGCCATGTTTTTTGCACTTTCTGTGTAACTTTTTTGTAGAATAAAAAGAATAAACGAGAACATTCTGACAAAGAAATTGTGTACTTTCCTAGCTCCTAGTATCTCCAAAAGTTCTAAAATACAAAGCAATGACCATTAACATTAATCATACGACAATTAACATGGAACATGGCCATGAGTAATTAAACATCAGGTACTTGGGATTTCAACACATATTTAGTCCTAACAGAAATCTCCTTCCAATTTTAACTTCCAATAAATACAGACGTTCAATTCAGAGAAATAAGAAGAGTATAGAAATCTAAGGGGTCCCCACGGAGAGCCATTTGGGAGCACAAGAACAGACACTTATCTTACATATCTATTAGCTGGAAATTGATCTTACCTTTTGAGCTAATATATACTTCTGATGTCTGATTCCTGTCAGCATATTATGTGTTACAACTACAAGCATTTCATCTGAAGTATCCTCTGTGGAATGTGCAAAATCAACATATATATGCACTGAGGTCAGTTGATCCAGGATTATCTTTTAATGTTAACAAACTTGTGTTCTGAATTTCCTCTGTAAAATGCATGTACCATAAATAATGAGGGATGAAACACAAGAAATAAAAGGGCAGTCTATTAGTAAAAAAAAAAATTATTTTTTTCTCACTAATCCAGTGTCCTATGCAATGTTTTATAGAGTACGGGTTAGAACATCAAGTTCAAATCAAGAGAGGTTGATAAGTATATAATGTTATGTTGTTGCATGAAGTTCAAACAGAACAAGGATCTTAATTGAAATTCGTTAAACCTTATAAAGCATGTGGAATTTATCTGACCTTTTAAAGTACTTTCTATGAAATACAGAGCATTTTATATGAAAGATGAATTATATACTAGTTAAATATTTTAATTACTTAATAAAAAAATAAGGTCTTATTTTTTATTAAATTCAATTTTTCATTAAAAAATATTGTAGACTTGTTACGAAGGAGTAGAAAAATAAATAAATAAATAAAATGGTTTCGAACAATTTATCCTGAAAACTAAATTTGACAACTTTCACCCTTATATTCAGCAGAAAGTGACTTCACCGAAACACAGAGTAGGGGTAATATGGTAACAGCAACATCAACCCCCTCCATAACCAACCCCTTCAAAATCCCCTTATCCTATCTTCACTCTTCACTTCACTTTTCTTCTTCTCTCCCTCAAATCCCAAAACTGCGAAACATTTGCATCACAAAATGGCCTCAACGACTCTAACAACCCTCACCCTTCGCTCCCTATCTCATCCTACACCCTCCTCTTACTCTGCGCACCTCTCCGCCAAACCCTCCCTCCAATTCCCCAACCTCTACCACCGGGCCACCACCGCCACTCGCCGCGCCCGCGTCGTCGTCTCTGCCGTGGCCGCGCCGGAGAAAATCACCAAGCTCGGCGACGAAATCGCCGGACTCACCCTCGAGGAGGCGAAGAACCTCGTGGATTTCCTCCAGGACAAGCTGGGCGTCTCCGCTGCGGCTTTCGCTCCCGTGGCTGCTGTCGCGGCTCCCGGAGCCGCGGCGGACGCACCGGCTGCGGTGGAGGAGAAGACGGAGTTCGACGTGGTGATCGAGGAGGTGCCGAGCAATGCGAGAATCGCGGTGATTAAGGCGGTGAGAGCTTTGACGAGCCTGGCGCTGAAGGAGGCGAAGGAGTTGATCGAAGGGTTACCGAAGAAGTTCAAGGAAGGGGCTTCGAAGGAAGAAGCTGAAGATGCTAAGAAGCAACTTGAAGAAGCGGGTGCCAAGGTTGCCATTGTTTAGGAGCTTCATGTTTTTGCTTCTTTGTTGTAGTTGAGTACACTAGTACACTGTAATTTCATTTCATTTTGTCTGGATTTCAATTTTATTTGTAATGAGGAAAAAATGAGTTTTTGTTTTTATAATTTTTTATGCATGTCAAGTGTTTGTCGGAATGGGGGTGAACCGGTGAAGGGTTATCTCAAATGATGAACTGAATTGGGAATTGGAAATTGGAAATAGCACTTAAAAATCACAACCACTGTAAGGTGGACATTAGCTTTCAGCACTTGCTAAACTTGTCTGCATGATCCCAAATGTTATCTGGAGTAACATTATTTAATCTGTGTGAACTATAACGTTTAATTAGGGATGTACATTGCTCTGCATTGGTTGCACTCTACCTATTTATTGTTTTCAATTTGCACTTTCTGTTTTACTGTGTGCATCGGGACTTAGTTTGGAAATGCTAGCTACACAATTTAGTTTCAAATGCAGAAGAAGATTATAGAAATGTTTAGTTCATGGTGAGCTTTCTAATTCTTTCTGTATGTGAAAACTTAAACTATATTTCTGGCAAGCTTTATGAATGTAAAAGATCCTTTCAATTTCTTTCTAAATACATCCAACAAAGCCTGTAGACTTAAGGAGAAAGAGCACAATCATAAAGATCCTTTTCTATCTTTTAGAAATGCTCGCATTATTATTATTGTTACCAGAATGTTACATCGTGCAACTCTTACAACACAAAGCTATTAAGACAATCATCTAAAAATAAATAAATAGAAGAAGAAAAAAATTGTAGGAATCAGAAGAGAACATGATTTGAGTTATAACGTCGGGTAAACCCCAAAATCATGTTGACAAGCTTAATGCATTGCATGGACATTTTAATTTGATTAGGGTTTGGTTCACTGAAAAGGAACTGGAACACCCTGGTTCTTCTTGACTATAGCCATTGCCATGTAGCGAGTACCCATACCGATTGGAACCCCTTCATCGGGTCCTTCCCAAAAGGGAGCTTCGCCATCACCAACAAGACGCCAGTAACCTGTTCGCAATGCTTCAGCCTGCTCCTTCGTGCAGTTCTGAAGGAGTGCCTCAACACGAAAATTTATTCCAAGTGAACCAAGAAATTGAGATTGAGTAATTGGCCCGTGAACAGACACTTCTCCTGCATATGAGTTTTAAATTAGTTCTTTAAGCAAATATACATCTTCCCATGTCTGATTCTAATCATCATACTATCTTTTAGAACCAAAAACATTGGGAACACACCCGAAGCTTCCTCTGCGGAATGCTTAATGGAAGCAAAATCAACATATGCACTGAGGTCAGCTGATCCAGGATTGTCCAGAAGGTTCACAAACTTGTGTTTCCGAATTGCCTGCATCAATCAATGCACCATAAAAAAGAAAGCAAGAGGGAGGAAAGACAATCTAAATACAATATATCAACTACTATATCAAATTTAAATATTTAATCAGATATTAGACAGTACATGGTACTGCAACAACAAGTTCATAACAATTACCAACATAAAGAAGCAACATTGATAAAAACCAAAAGCTATTTAGAAAAAAACTCAGAATATGTATTATTTGTTGGAAATAGGAACGATTACAGAAGAATACCCCCAAGTTCCTATCGAACTATTTCCTACAGAGCTACCTCAAATCAGTAACATTCCCGACGTATCTCAGCCTTGCCACTTTTTTCTTTTCCTTTCCCTCCTCTCAAACACACTATATTTTGCGCTCAGATGTCTTCATTTGAGCTTTTCTCTCCTTTGACCGAATGAGTTCCATCGTCCACCTTCTATATCATAAGGCATACTCCAATAGAGAGATTGTGATATACCGGCACAGTGTTTATTAATTTTTATCAGAAACTTAATCAATATGTTTGCTTATGCTAATGTTTCCATGGTATTACAATCTCAAGAAAAAAAAAATTACGATATGGGAAACTACACATATTTGCTAGACCTGGAGACTGTCCGAGATTATTCTATTCAAGCCATAGTCAATGATTAGAGCTCCTCCACCATCAGTGCTTATCCTGTCAACAATGGTCTGGGTCAAATCCATGGCTTGGGGGCACACTTCAATTTGATTGAGCTCAGTAATTTCCTCTAGCGCAGCCCACTTGCACCGCTTTAATAGATAGAGAGTAGCAGGTGTAGGCTGTGGAGAAAGAACAAAACGAAACCTATCCGATATATGTAAGAAGTATCAATACACTAAACCCAGAAAGAAGAAATACAATTCTAAAGAGTAAATTACATTACAATACTTACGAGGAATCTTCTGCCACATCAACCATTTTCTCACACCAGCCTCGAGATGCTCTCTGCAGTGCCCAGAAAAAGAAATGCTTCACAAAATGTAAACCAAGGGCAATATAGAAATGGTAGGAATTGACAGAAAACTTGGATTTCATTTTTCTTACAGCACTTATACAAGGTATCATATGACATGACTTCTATTCTAATGTGATGTGGACATAAAGGCCCAAGCCCATAACGAGAAGGATCAAGACCAAGACTATTAAAAGATTCAAACATGGAGGAGTCTAGACCTATCACATGCATAGAATGTTTGGAGAGCTAAGAGACTCAACTAAAAGATTTAGTTTTTATTATTATTAATATTTTATTTGCTACAGTGGGGATTTGAACCCAAGACCCAAAGCTTATAATACCTTCACTGAACCATCTGGGCAACTTAACTTTGCTTGGGATATTAGGATTTTAATTTATCTTTATTTCCTGCAATGAGACAAACTCATAAACTTAAATTGTATTAAACATTTGGGAATTCAGAAGGAACGTACGTAATATTCAGATTACTTTGTGAGTTGTTGCTCTGCTAGGGTTCTTCCTTGCATCACTTGATCTTATCAAGAATTATTCGATTCTTGTGGCGATCCTTCTTGGCTTATCAAATATTCTTATTTGTGGCGCCTACGGTATCTTTTATGTTTTTCTGTTTTCTATTTCTAATCAAATCAATTCTTAAAACCTAACCCTAAATTGTTTCCCTTCCATTCGAGTGTCGTCATAATGGACATTAAGGAACTAAAACTATGATTTGTGCCAAGCTCAAACTCTTTAAAGCAGGAAGGTAGTGGAAATTTGGAATTGTTTAAACAAGAGGGGATGTGTTGAGGTTCAAACTTATTTGTTGCATTTTATTTGATCACTAAATTTCAAAATTAATTGTGCACCTTGATAGATATTCTTAGTTTTAATTCAGCATAATAGCAAAAGCATTCTATTACCTGAAACTGGTGGACTGGTAGGGCATCAAAGAACTCGTGCGCAATTATGATTGTTGGCACTGGAGCACACCAAAAACAATAACTTGGTCAGGGCGGCATTTTTTGAATATAGTTCAATAAGATGTTTTATTGTAACACAGAACAGAATTAAAATTTCATATAAGGAGTTGCACACCATATTTTATGTCCAAAAGTCTATTTTCATTGGAAAAGCATTACATACATCCAGATGGAATCTGCTCCAGCGTCGCGTGCCACGAAACAGGAGTGCCAAACAAAGACCTGGCAGTTCTTATATCAGTATCTTGAGCAGTATTCTCTTCGCCAATGCATTTCAAGTTCTGGTGCTGAAGCTTCTGCAGTGCTGGACTACATTCCACTAGGTGCACATGCAATGAGTCAATGAAGTTCTTAAACTTTGAAGCACCCTATAAGAAATTTAAAACCACCATATGTAATTGAGAATGTAAACAAAAAGGTTTAAACAGAAATCAAGCATAAAAGCATATCCTCATACGCGAAGGAGATCAGCCATGAGTGTTCCTCGTCCAGGGCCAAGCTCAACTAGATTTACTCTTTGTGGTTGGCCCATTTGCTGCCAAAGACACATCACCCAGACACCAACCATCTATGTTTGAATAAACAAGGTATTAGAAACAGAATCATATGACTCCTGGACAAGCTTTAACTCTAGTTCATGCCCCCAATATCATACATACAATCTGCTTAGATAAATTTATACGCAGACACTTCTATAGGAGACAGATAAGAAAAAAATAAAATAAAGTGAGTTTATCCGTAAGCTAAATTTGATAAATTATTCTCATGCTAGTTTTTATAAAGTATTTAAGAAAAAAAAATCATTTCATTTGTTTTCTTAGAAATGCTTGAAGGGAAATTTATACAAACATTATAATTCAATAAATGAAGATAATTCACCTCACCTCACCAAACATCTGGCTAACTTCAGGAGAGGTGATAAAATCACCCTCTGCTCCAAAAACATCTCGATTGATGTAGTACCCAGCTTTAGGATTTGTCAAAACTTCGGACATATACTCACCTAGGGAAATAGGGCCTCCACGAAACTGATAATCACGGGTAACATAAATTAAAAACGGCGAAACACAATTCTTAAAAGACTCAATTTTTATGATGCGAAAATTGAGTTGAATAGAATAAAACCTTGATGATGCCTTTGAGGTGCTTGACGAGCTCGGAATCAGAAGTTGGGTGGTGAGTATGCTCTGGCACAAGAGAGAAAGAGAAGTTGAGTGTGTATAATAAACATAGAAATGAAGGAAAATTGAAGAGTACCAGGCGGATTGAAAAGGGTAGAACGGTCAATGGAGATTGTGGCGGCGGCAGTGGTCTCTGAAGGAGAAGAACAAAGCCTTCGATAAAGGCGCGGCACTGTGGGACGATGAAGTGAGTAACATTGGCGCAACACTTTTCTAAGCATTTCTTCTTCACTTTTTCATTCAAGAATCGAAGCAGTTAGTGATGGGGCTTTTATAGGAAACAGGGTTGCTTCTGATACCATTTTTTCTCCCTTTACGTATTTTAACTAGTATCATCACCCGTTAGATTATCTAAATTTTTCTATTAATAATAAATAATATTTTAATATTAATAATCTATATTAATAAAAAACAAAAAGAACAAATATTATAAATGATCCTAAATTTTCAAATTTTAAATGAAAGAAGTGAAAGATTTTGTAAAATAAATAAAAAATCTTA